TAAAACTTAACTCTTACCTGGGCATGATGACTCACACCTGTATGTAATCCTAGCACTCTGGGAGACAGAGATGGGTGTATTGCTTGAGATCAGAAATTCAAGACCACCCTGAGCAAGAGTGAGACCCTGTCTCTACTAAAAACAGAAAAACTAGCCTTCTTGTGGCATGAGCCTGTAGTTCAAGCTACTCAGGAGGTTGGGGCAAGAGGATCTCTTAAGCTGAAGAGTTTGAGGTTGGTATGAACTATGATGCCCTGGCACTCTACCCAGAGAGACGGAGTGACTCTTGTCTTAAAACAAATAAACAAAAAACAAACAAGAAAAACCATTAACCCTCTGTTGTCATTTCACAAGACACTTCAGTGAAATTACTAGAAGAGACCACCACAGAGAACACAAGACCCCTCTCCAAATCAGCTCCAATTTTGGCTGAGTCAGTAGAAAACCCAGAACTTTTAACTTGATGGCAACTCTGTATTTCCATGTATGTTGCTACAGCTAAGACACAGGCTGCCACAGAAGACTAGACATGCAAGGGTCAAAGAGGCTCAGAGACTGCCCCTCAGATTAGCCAATGACTAGTCGCAAATAAGGTCACCTGCTGAGCAATTCAGATAAAGTGATAACCATCCCTGAGAGCATTGGGAGCCAGGAACATCTGCTCCCAGGAGCAAGGAGAGATCCCAGAAAACAGAGAAGGATCCCAGGAGTCAGAGAGAGATCCCTGGAAGAAGGGGAGATCCCAGGGAGCAAGGGGAGATCTCAGTGATCAGGATGTGATCCTAAGGACCAGAGAAAGTGGTGGAATCTGCATAATCTGCCTAAGCCCTGCCCTCTTGCAGGAACAGTCTAATGGCTGAGGATTAAATATCTTAATTTACCAAAGTTACTAAAAGTTTGTTTCCTTCATTCTTATGTATTCTTATGAACATGATTTTGATAGTAACACTTCACAGGCATGCATAAAGAGGTTGAACTCTGAGTTTGGGGAATTATTATTATTATTTTTTGACACAGAGTCTCACTATGTTGCCCTCAGTAGAGTGCTCTGGCATCACAGCTCACAACCTCCAACTCTTGCCTCAGCCTCCCAAGTAGCTGGGACTACAGGCGCCCACCACAATGCCTGGCTATTTTTTTCTGTTGTTGTCGCAGTTATAGTTGTTTAGCAGGGCCAGGGCTGGATTCAAAACCACCAGCCTGTCTGTGGCCAGTGCCCTAGCCGCTGAGCTAGGGGTACAGCCCAACAGTTGTCATTGTTGTTTAGCTGGCCGAGGCCGGGTTCAAACCCGCCAGTCTCGGTACATGTGGCTAGTGCTGTAACCACAGTGCTATCGGCGCTGAGCAAGGGGGAGTTTATTCTTATGGATTTCTTTTTTCCATATAGACAGTAAACATATTCTTCTTTGCTGTACAATAAAAATTTAGCTCTTTATACATGACATATTAGTTTATTTGATTTCTCTTGAAAGTTATTGAGTTATTTTCTGATATACCTTCATTTCAGTATTTTAAGAACACTATCTAGCAAATGTACCAATTAACCAAAAATTTATAGCAATTCATGTAACAAAAGATGGTTTGAGCATTTTGAAGATGTATATGCACTTTAACTAGACCTGTTTTTATTTATCTTTATTATCAATTTGAGCAAATAGGAATATAACCTTCGGTGGTGACACTTGAAAGAGGGAGATTGAAAAATGGGGAGTTGGAAAAAAAAAGGGGGGAGTTGTGGGGAGAGGCTTGGCACCTATAGCTCAGCCGCTAGGGTGCCAGCCACATACATCGGAGCTGGCAGGTTCAAACCCATCCCAGGCTAAACAACAATGACAACTACAACAAAAAAATAGCCGGGTGTTGTGGTGGGTGCCTGTAGTCCCAGCTCTTTAGGAGACTAAGGTAAGGGAATTGCTTAAGCCCAAGAGTTGGAGGTTGCTGTGAGCTGTGATGCCATGGCACTCTACCTAGGGTGATAGCTCATAGCAAAAAAAAAAAAAAAAAGAAAGAAAGAAAAGAAAAATGAGGGTGGGAGCTGAGAACATAGGAGGGTTTGGAATCCCTGGAACACTGGAATCCTGAGTCCTCCAAGGGTCTCCCCATGATCCACATAGTTATAGGATATATGTTTTGGACAAATCAGTAAATTTGATCAATTGTATGAATGGGTCATTTAGAAAATTGTTGTTTGGTTATTGGCTCTGGGAGATATTTTGTCCAGTTCCCTTTTCTTTTGGTCCAGTTAATTTTCTTCTGGTGTCCCTGGTTCCCTTGTCTTGGGTGGTGTCCTAGGCTAGCTGGACCTAATTTTGTCCTAGACTCCTTCTGGAGTTTGGGAGCCCCACCCTCTGCAGCCTCTTCACCTACCTATCTGCTATGACCTGCTCAGACTCAGAACAAGTCCCAGCTGGGCCCCCACTGAGTCTCTTAGGGACCACTGCCACTGTTTTTTCAATACTTTCTGCCCCTTCTGTCTCCTCATACAGTCCTTTGGCCACCATGCCTTTGTTCAAGCCATTCCCCTGGCCCTGGCACTCTCCCTTCCAGATTCCTCTGATGCTGTGGCCTTTGCCACCCTCCCTTATGAATTCTTCTGAAGTAGGGGCACCATTGGTCACACTTGAACTAGAGTGGCTTTACCACCGCAGCTGCACCATCACCTCAGGGCTACGTATCAGTACAATCAGTTCTGTGAGGTTCCAGTTCCAGGTCCACCTGTAACTTAAACCAGGTGACCTGGCCCTTAATAACCTCCCCTGGCAGTAATAAAAAGGATGGCTAGAGAGCAAGGCCAAGGACCTAGGGGGAGATAGAGAACGCTGGTCTGGGGCAGAGACAAGGTATAAGGAAAGGCAGCATCTGAGTCTTGGCCTTCTCCAGTGGTTCTGCCTTTGGCATCAGAGGAAGGAGGACACTAAACAGGTTCTGAGCTGGAATTTTATTGGGCTGGACTGGAGCTGTCCACAGTGGATAGTTTGGGTGAGTGCAGGAGAGGAATGGTCAGCAGAGATGCTCAGAGCCATCTCAGAAAGTATTGGCTGCATGCTTTCAGGTTGACTTCTTTGGAGAGTGCCATTTCTTGAGGAAGTTCCTTATGCCTCTGCGAGTTCGCATAGTCTAGAGAAGGGGGAGTCAGAGAGAATTAGCTTTATCCAGGGCTGGGGGGTTGAGAGATTAGGATGGTCCTGCCTAAGGTCTTCAGAAGAGACTGGCTGCAAGGATATGCCCTAGGCTGGCCAGGAGGCCAGTCCTTCAGCCCTCCAGCCCTTGTCCTTTATTCTGAAGCCTCCCAGCACTGGCTTCCATCTCTACCCCTCTACCTTCCACTCCTCTCCAGTGGTTCGCTCACCCCTGCAAGTTTTTGGGATTTGCAGACAACCATCTTTCTGGGGTACTTCTCACCAGCATTGAAGTACCCCTGGCAGTTCTTCACTTGCTGTGGAGGAGAAGAATAAGTTTAGGCCATGGACACTTACTCAAGGGCCCCCAATGTGCCATAGCAAATACTGGGCTCCTTTTGCAGACATAGCTAAAGAACAGAGCCAGGTATTCACCCTACAGCTTTAAGACGGGCATGGGGTCTGAGAACCTTACTCCATTGTCCTTGAAGGGACACTGGTCAGGGGTGAAGTCCTCCACCTTGCACTTTGTCTCTTTGATGGTGAGTAGCAGCAACTGTGGTTTTGAAATGGTTGGGTCCTGTCAAGCAAGGAGACAATAGGAACTAAGCCCTCCACAGCAGGTCCATTTGTGAAGGGTACCCAGAGAGCATGCAGCAACAGGTGGGAAAGTCAGGGCCTGGAAAGACCCTTATCACCATCTACCAGCTCCAAACTGAGGTCTGGAGAAGGGGACCAGGCTCGGTGCCCTGGTAGCTCAGTGGTTAGGATGCCGGCCAGGTACACTGAGGCTGGTGGGTTTGAACCCTGCCCAGGCCAGCTCAGCAACAATGACAACTGGAACGAAAAAATAGTCAGGGCTTGGCCTCCCATAGCACAGTGGTTATAGAGCTGGCCACATACACCAAGGCTGGTGGGTTTGAATCCAGACCAGGACAGCCAAACAACAATGATGACTACAATCAAAAAATAGCCGGGCATTGTGGCAGGCACCTGTAGTCCCAGCTATTTGAGAGGCTGAGGCAAGAGAATCACTTAAGCCCAAGAGTTTGAGATTGCTGTGAGCTGTGACTCCACAGAACTCTACCCAGGGCAACATAGTGAGAATCTGTCTCAAAAACAAAAAACAAATAAACAAACAACAACAACAACAAAACAGAGAAGGGGACCAAGTTAGATAGGGCCACATAGGTAAGAGTGGCAGAGAAAGACTCAAAGCCAGGTCCACATTATTGCCACATCTGGTGCTATTTCTACTTGTCATGTCACCTATCACATCAGCTGGAAAAACCTTCAGAAAAGTGCAAAGCACTGCTCAAGGTGATGTAATCTTTTGAGATGGGGAAACAGAGTCCCAGAGAGGTGAGAGGGCCTTCCTAAGGCTCCCCAGCCCATTGGGGCAGCAGAGCCCATAGCCCAGCACTCTGCCTAGGAAATTCTGGCTGGGTTGGGCTGTGCCCTGAGCACTGGTCCTTCTCACCCAGTCTGGCTGGGACTTAGCTTCCAGAATCCAGAAGGCATATTCCTTATTTGACTGGTTGTTAAAGTTGTTGATGGCTATGTCCAGAGCCTCAGCATGACTCAGTCTGGCACTCTTGGTCCAGGAATTAGGTTCGACCCAAGGCAGACCCAAGAGCAGTAGCAGCCCAGCCACTGTGATGCCTTCCATCTTGCCTGGCCGCAGTCTGCTGGGTGCAGCCTCTGCTTGGTTTTACGCTTGCCCTGGGGTAGGGTGGAGCTGCCCTCCTACCTACTGGCCTCTAGGTAAGGCCCATGCCTGGGAAATCCCAGGCTGACGGAAGAGATGGTAATCATTACTTAATCTCTTGGCTTTCCCCCAAGCTCCTGCGTCACACGAAGTGGTAAGTGGAAAGAAGGAAGTGAGCCATGGTAGAGGGTCCTGACACTCACCCTGACCCAAATCCCCACCCTCACAACACCCATGTCTGCCTTCCCAGTATGCTGCAGAGACAGGAGGCAAGGTTTGAATTCCTTCACTTATCCCCCATGAGAGGGACAGTATGGGGGAGCTTTGTCCAAATTCTGGTTCTGGGCTTGGCACCTGTAGCTCAAGTGGCTAAGGTGCCAGCCACACACACCTGAGCTGACAGGTTCAAATCCAGCCCAGGCCCACCAAACAACAATGACAACTACAACCAAAAAATAGCCGGGCCTTGTGGCAGGCACCCGTAGTCCCAGCTACTTGGGAGGCTGAGGCAAGAAAATCGCTTTAGCCCAGGAGTTTGAAGTTGCTGTGAGCTGTGATGCCACAGCACTCTATCCAGGGTGACAGCTTGAGGCTCTGTCTCAAAACATACAAACAAATAAACAAACAAAAAACCAAATTCTGGTTCTGCTATTTTCTGGGGAGGGATCCTTTTTCAAGTGACTTAACCTGTGGGCCTCAGTTTCCTCATCAACTGCTTTAGTCAGCTGGAGGGTGTTTCCTGTAGGTAGGGGGCCTGGCAGGTGGGGTGCAGTTCCTCTGCCCCAGTCTAATGAGCAGCAGGGTTGGCCAAGAGGAGCAAAGGGGAGTGGCAACGCAGGATCAGCACTCACTGCCTGAGTCTGGTGGAGTGAAGGGTGCAGGATGATTTCCCATAGATTAGAAGAGTACATGGCACAGCCAGCTGGCGTGGAGTGCTATGCTGTCTTTCCTGGGAAGATCTCCATCCACTCTGACAGACTGTGAGGAGTGAGCCTGGAACGTCAAATGCTGGAGGGATGGAAGGCTTCTCCCATATCACAGAGGTGCAGTCTGAGGTTCTGGCAGGGTACCCACCAAGGGATCCAGGGTCAGTCAAATAGGGCACAGAAGGATGGAAAGGGCACTCCAGGCAGAAGGCTCAGCAAATGCAAAGGCTCAGAGGTAGGAAAACACAGGGAAGATTTCAGGATTACCAGTAATTATGTGCATTGTTAAATTTTTCTACTTTTTTATTGCGGTAAAATACATAGAAAATTTACCATCTTAACCACTTTTAAGTTTACAGTTAATTATTTTCTTATTTATTTATTTATTTATTGAGACAGAGTCTCAAGCTATCACCCTGGGTAGAGTGCCCTGGTGTCACAGCTCACAGCAACTTCAAACTCTTGGGCTTAAGTGATTCTCTTGCCTCAGGCTCCCAAGTAGCTGGGAGGCAGCTACTCAGGCACCTGCCACAACGCCTGACCATTTTTTTTTTTTTTTTTAGAGACAAGAGACTCACTTTGTCGCCCTTGGTAGAGTACCATGGCATCACAGCTCACAGCAGCCTCCAGCTCTTGGGCTTAGGCGATTCTCTTGCCTCAGCCTCCCAGTAGCTTGGACTACAGGCGCCCACCACAATGCCCAGCTATTTTTTGTTGCAGTTTGATCGGGGCTGGGTTGGAACCTGCCACCCTTGGTATATGGGGCCAGCGCACTACTCACTGAGCCACAGGCACTGCCCATGCCTGCCCCTTTTTTTGTTGCAGTTGTCGTTGTTTTAGCTGGCCCAGGGCCGGTTTGAACTCGCCAGCCTCTGTGTATGTGGCTGGCTCCCAAGCCACTGAGCTATGGGTGCTGCCAATATTGTCTACTTCATTTATTTTTTTATTTTTTATTTTTTTGAGGCAGAGCCTCAAGTTGTCACCCTGGGTAGAGTGCTGTGGCATCACAGCTCACAGCAACCTCCAACTCCTGGGCTCAAGTGATTCTCCTGCCTCCATCTCCCAAGTAGCTGGGACTACAGGTGCCTGCCACAACGCCTGGCTGTTTTTTGGTTGCAGCCATCACTGTTGTTTGGCGGGTCCAGGCTGGATTCAAACCCACCATCTCAGGTGTATGTGGCTGGCATCTTAGCCGCTTGAGCCACAGGCGCTGAGCCTATTTTCTACTTTAATTATCTTGTTTTTATCCCTTGACTTGGGGGAAAGCATAAATAAAGCCTCGCTGGTCCAGTGAGACTGGCCAGGGGCATTATGTGGGGCATTATGTGCACGTCAGAGCCCCAGGGAGAGAATGGAAGATTTCTCTCTGGGCTGGGAGCAGTTAGACAAGAGGTAGGATTTGATCTGACCTTAAGAAATGGACTAGGTTCAGATTAGTGTTGGGGGATCCAGGGTACCCAGGAAGGGAAGAAGCTAGTATGATGTACTCTGAAGTTTAAGGCTTTATTTGTAGGAGGGAGGAACAGGAAGTGAGGAGGATGAAGAGGAGGGCTGATAATGGACAACCTTGAATGCCTAGCTAGAGGGCTGAGTTTTGCTCCTGGAGTACTGAGCGACAGATGTGGCATTCATGGTTCAACTCCTCACACTGATCCCAGCAAGGATGGAATTGATTAGAATTATTTGTAATGGGCGGCACCTGTGGCTCAGTGAGTAGGGCACCAGCCCCAAATACCGAGGGTGGTGGGTTCAAACCCGGCCCTGGTCAAACTGCAACAACAACAGAAAAAATAGCCGGGCATTGTGGTGAGCACATGTTGTCCCAGCTACTCAGGAGGCTGAGGCAAGAGAATCGCCTAAGCCCAGGAGTTGGAGGTTGCTGTGAGCTGTGACACTACAGCACTCTACCGAGGACGATAAAGTGAGACTCGGTCTCTACAAAAAAAAAAAAAAAAAATTATTCATAATAACCAAAAAGTGGAAATGACTCAAATTTCCATTAATGAATAAATGAATAAACAGAATGTGGTATACATGGAATATTATTTGGCTATAAAAGAAATAAAGTATTGACAAATACCACATCATGGATGAACTTTGAAAATGTTATTCAAAGAAGCCAGTCACAAAGTGCCAAAAATTGTATGATTCTATTTATGTAAAATGTCCAGAATGGCAAATCAAATGTATAAAGACAGAAAGTAGATGAGTGGTTGCTTAGGGCTGGGGCTGGGGCTTAAAAGGAAATGGAGAGTGACTGCTAGGGTTGAGAAAGGTACTGTTTTGGGGGGAGTGATGAAAATATTCTTAAGTCACTTGTGGGCAAAGTTGCATAACTCTGTGAATATACTAAAAATGATTGAATTGTATACTTTATTTATTTATTTTTGAGATAGAGTTTCAAGCCGTCACCTTGGGTAGAGTGTCATGGATGGCATCACAGCTCACAGAAACCTCCAACTCTTGGGCTTAAGTGATTCTCTTGCCTCAGCCTCCTGAGTAGCTGGGACTACAGGCACCTGCCACGACGCCTGGCTTTTTTTTTGTTGTAGTTGTCATTGTTGTTTGGCAGGCTCGGGCTAGATTCGAATCTGCCAGCTCTGGTGTAAGTGGCTGGCACCCTAGCTGCTGAGCTATAGGTGCCAAGCCCTGAACTATATCTTAATAAAGTCATT